AGCAGCGCTTTTGCATAAGCGTTGTCTATGTAGCGGTGCCAAAACTCGTTTTTGGCGTAGTGAACACTAATCTTGTCTCTTGAATATGAAAACCAATTCGAATCATATTATTATGCCAAAGCCTAACTTACTCATCCTCCTTTTTGCTCTTTTTCATTCAGGCGCAATCACATTAAGCCCGTTATCTCCACACACTCATAGCAAGGCAACCGATTAGTGACTCTGATCCTTTTTGCACGGGGTTCTGGTACTTACGTGGCATAACCCTTTGCTTACTCGATTGTAGTTGCGGGGGATCGGACTGTAATCCGCCCTACCAAGTTCAGCACCAGAAACCGCTGAACCAACTAACAACGAGTCTTATTATCAACTTTTTTGTAGGTTATATGACCGTTGGATTAAGTGACTGGGTGAGGGTCACCAAACTTAGAAGGCACATTCATTTTTCTTTCTTTCTTTTTTCAAATAAAACTTGAATCACTCACTTATTTTCATCGGTTTCCCTGCGTTTAGTGCGTGTGAGATGGTGCTGACTGCTGAAATAAACTACTCAAGAGCTATTAAAAGATGAGAATTCAAGGCTACGTCATAATAAAAATTCAAATTAACTTCCATATGCATGAGACTTACAGTGTTAAGACGATACCGATCTTGTGAACTTTTCCCAAGTCTCCACAACTAACCTCATATTAATCTATAACCCAAAACTTTCAAAAAGATGCATATTTTTTATATTATTTTATAACTGAAAATAAAACAACGAACAAAAGCAAAGAAAACAAAACAAATAAATAATTCTCTCCCCCACACTTAAAACACACATTGTCCTCATAGAAAGAAACAAGCATAAAATAAGAGAGAGGAGAGAGAGAGAGAGAGAGAGAGAGAGAGAGAGAGAGAGAGAGAGAGAGAGAGAGGAAATAACACACCTGAGAAGTCAAGGCGGATAGACGATCGCATAAGTAGCCTTTCCCAATGAGAGCACTTTTATAGTTTCCTCTTCCAACGTGGGACTCTCATGGAATAGCTTGAGGCGGTGTCCTTTGACTTTGCAATTTTTATCAGTACCTTCATTTTTTATTCCTGGATCAAAGAATGTTCTTCTAAAAGTAAAAGTGTCAAATGGGCACGTGAACATGATCTCATCTTTCACAACATCAAGGATCAAAAGGTTACGGGGCTGCCTCACTACTTTTGCTACATCTTCAAGTGAGATCTTATGCATGCACATGGATGGACTAATATCATAAATATAATCTAAGGTCCATCCAATTCTTTTCTTATGCTTCTTCAAAACCTACAAAAATTTACTTTCTTGATCAAAATAAAGTTTAGAAGAAATTATAATCGGGAGTTTTTCATTCATCTCTAGATAAGCATAATTAAGATTATCAGGAATTAGTTCCAGCTCTCGGAAAGGTGGTTGTTTAATGGATGGTTTGTTTCGGGCAGCCGGAGTATTGAGAGCTTCTTCCACATGAACAACTTCATTTGCAACCTCATCTGCAGTAAGAATATCAACTTGCAAGGCGGCCTCAATTTCAGCACAAACAGAGCAAATTTTAATATCAATACAAACATCACAAGAGTAAACATCATCAAAATTAGATAATGATGGAAAATCAGCTGCAAATAAATCAGTACAAGTATCATCAACAGTCTCAGAAAGCAACTCTATTGGAAAAACAAAATTCTCTTCCAAGGGTTGTTGGTTAGACCCTTGAGCTTGTTGCATGATATTCATCAAAGAGGCAAGTTGTTCATTATGTGTTTGCAAAGTCTGGAGAGTAGAATCTATTTGTTGTTCATACTGGAGATTATTTGCAGCCATTTGTTTTACAATGTCCTCTAGCGAAGGTTCAGAAGGTTCTGAGCATACAACCTGGAATTCCTTCAGATGCTTATGTGGATCCTCACCTGTAAGACTATTAAGCTTTGACAACAAGTGTATTAAATCAGATTTTGATTCAAAAGGTGTATCAGTTGCAGGATAGTCAATACATAAACCATTATAGCTCACATCAAGGCCAGCCAACTGCCTCAAAGTCCTTTGTTCAGCCATGTTATCCATAAACACAAAAATACCAACTATGTCCCAAACAGGCAGAAACAAATAGAAAGAAAGAAAACGATTAAAATAAATTCAAAAAAAATACAAAAATACAAAATTTAATCTAATGAAATAAAATAAGAATTTTGAGATTTTTTTTAGATTTTTTCGACACTATGAAAACAGTAAAACATTATTTAAAAATAGAAAAAAGACGAATTTTTAATTTTGAGGGTCAAATTCTTTTAGAATTCTATTCTAAAAGACTAATGTCCGTCGATTTTTTGCTGATTTTGTGGGGAAAAATTCAGAGCAAATCGAAACAATAACTTATAAACTTACCTGATAGGTTGAAAAACTATACTGCAACCAGAATTGCAATCCTGAAAATCAACAAACACAACAAAACAACAAAAAAAAACCAAGAAAAAAAAACAAGAACACTAAACCTATGACTATAATATCAGTTAATAAAAACAAGAATCCCCGGCAACGACACCAATTTAATCCGCTGTCGCACACAGATCAAAAACGAGTATTTTGTAAAATGCAGTATAGCGACAATGACTCGAGTCGTATCGCAAGGATTCTTGATTTTATTATTAACTAATAGAAATCGAATGGGGGTTGGTTTTAGGATCGATTTATAACACGAAATAAGTGATTATAAAAATAAGTCGATCTACTGTTTTCAGGTTCCTGCTAATCATTGGTTTTTACCTTATCAATTCCCTAAGCGGCTTCGACCTCTATTCGATTTCAATACCAATTGACAAGCGCAATAGATATAAAATAGATTGAATTCTCATTCTGAATTAAGAAAATGGATTAATATAATCGTGAATTAAGAAAACACGATATAGAACGCGATTTAACGACTAAGCGGCGTAAACAACGATTAAAGATTAGGAATACAATCATACAAATTTAATCAAGATATTCCATGAAATAACAGATTAAGCAAATGCAATTTCATAAAGTAGAATTGAAAGAGAAACGAAATTGAATTGATAAGTTAAAAACCTCAAAGCATCGGAACACGATTACAGTAGATCAACTCTGGATGATTAGTTCTTCATTCAAGCGTACAAGTCAAAGTTTTTTTCTGAATAATGAAAAGGTAAAAACTAAATTACTGTAGCGACTGCCAGGTATAGCAGGGATAAGGATTCGGTTCATAACCCAACTGGGTCGAAAACATAACCCAGGCCCAAAATAAATGATCCAAAACTTAAATATAAAATGCTGCAACTTCAACAAATTTTATGGCTCTGCTACAATCCGATTCAGCTCTCGACTTCTGAATAAAAATCGTAGCTCTTTCTCTTATCTTTCCAACAACTGGTAGCACGCCTCATTCCGACTCCCATAGCCCAAGTTATGAATTTATTCGTGCAGACTGCTAATGCTGAAAATAAAGTGCGAAAATCAAATAAGAGTAGAAATAAACTAAAATAGAAAAACACTATAAAATACAAAAATAAGCTAAACAAACCATAGAAATGCATAAGTACAATCATGAAAGAATGTGCATCATGCTTCTGCATTCGTCCCGTTTAGAGGGAAACAGGAGAAGGAACCATACAAAGTGTATCTTTACCACATGGTAGCAGATGATATACACTTCCACACGTACGTCCATCATCGTGGGACTCGTCCCTCGAACGACACTGTCTTCTACTTTAGATGTTTGACTTGCGGTTTATGTTTCATGTATCCTTATGTTCCTGAGTGCGTCATGCGGTAGTTCAGATACATGCATTTTATTCCCAGAGACCCTTCTGAGTCTGCTCATTCCGCTATGACACATAGAGATATGAATATCATGTTTGATTATCTTTATCATCTAGTATCGTATGAGGCACAAAGTACCCTACCTTCTAGTGAGTGGACTATTGTACACAGCTACATCCAGTAGTATTTCAGGATGTCACATCTTTGTATGATACCAAATGCTCTGGGAGATCCACATAGGCCAATTCATCAAGAGATACTAGAGGGAGATCAGGCTAAGACATATCATGATGTTGATGTGTTGCCTAAATGTTGCAGTATCGTGAAGATTGGCTGACGAGTATAAAAAGATGACTCTTTCCGGACGACTCTAATGTGAGAGATGTTCTAGATGTCATGAAAGGGGAGACACTAAGATGCAGCGTAGGAACAGGGGGGCCCGAGTCTGTTAGTAGTATTTTTATTAGGAGCACTATTTCCGATGATTTTATTTTGACTTCATTGTTTACTATGGATTTATTAACTTATCTATGTTGTTTTCATATTGTTCCGAAAGTGTGTGGTTTAATTTATACAAAACAAAATCATATATCGTCAAATTCATTAGAATATCTCTAAATCAAATGCAAAAATTATTGTCTGGTGTAGTTTCGAAGATACATCTCCGAATTATGTTTGATGTGAATAGAATTATATATCTCTGAAATAATTTATGTCAAAAGAAGACGTTTTATTTAGGAATGCATGTGATGTACATTAAGTGGTTTCAAAGATATATCTTCGAAACAATTTATATCAAAAGAAGACGTTTTACTAAAGAATGTATGAAGTGTATATTGAATCATTTCGGAAATACATATTCAGGATAAATTTTGTAAAAAATATGGGGTTCATCTCAAGTGAGCGTGTTTAATTGATACACAAGATGTGTTTAAAAATACATATCCGAAATCAAAGAAATATTTTCAAATTTTGATGAAATATTTTTCCACACTTAGGGCGGGATCAACATTTCCCTCAAGAAAATTTTCATCCTACTCCTTACATATAAAAAAATTGTGTTTATTTCATCATTTATTTACATTTAAAAAAACCTAAGAAAATGATGGGGAAAAAAGACTAAAGTAAACAGCTCAATAATGACTTAACCACTTGAAAAACATGTGGACATGAACAAAAGCAGCTAGAGAGTGAAGGAATAACCAGAATCCCAACAATGGCAACAACAATACCAATACGCATCTCACCAACTACCTTAAAACTCTTCCCTTCAACCAACACTCTATTTTCCATTCACACCAACAAATTCATCACCACCACCAACAACAGAACCAAGTTATTACTCCTATGTTTAAGTTCAAAAAACGGAACAGAGTGTCCTGTTCCACTAGAACAACAGCCCATAAACGAGTACCAGTCCTTGTCAACCTCGTTTCCCTTTTCATGGGCTGCCGGTGACGTCGTTGAATACGGCTCCCGCCTCTTCGTTGTCGGGTTCTCCTTTGCTCTCTTTGTTGGCCTCCCTGTAGCTTGGTTCGGAACCGTTGGCGCCCAATCCGAACCTGCCAAGAGGATCGTGTGTGCTGCTTCGAGTGGGGTTTTGGCGGTTACGTTTGCGGTTGTTAGAATGTATCTGGGTTGGGCTTATGTCGGTAATCGCTTGCTCAGTGCCACCGTTGAATGTAATCTATCTTTTCTCTCTACTCATTCTTTCAATGCAAACACATAAAAATGAAATTTTCATTATTAGTTCTAAATGTCTCTGTGTCTGTCTGTGTCTGTGTCAGTGCTTCATAGTATTTCAGAAGGCATTTATCTGTCCGTGTCTGCGTCCCTCCGTTTTAAAATGACTTTCGTTTTAAAACAAAATTTATTTGCTAAAACAACAGTGATTTTAAAAAGGAGAGAGTATCACTGATCACTTTTCTCTTGATATTGTAGATGAGGAGACAGGGTGGTATGATGGTCAGGTATTGGTTTTCTCTTTTTGTTTACCTTTTTCAAGCAAAATCTTGTTTCATCCTTGTTTGTTATGTTCTATATCATGTAACATCAATTTTTGTTTTCCTATGAATCATTTAAGTGAGAGAGATCAAGTTCTTGGTCTAAATTAACTTTACTTTTGCTATTAAGGCTAGATATTTTTCTGCAGATATGGGTGAAGACTGCTGAAGTCTTGACACGTGATAGACTCTTGGGATCATTTTCTGTAAGCTTTCTATTTAACTACTGCTGCACTTCAATTATTTTGTAACTTCAATGTTGCTGGAGTAAATCAAATTCAAGACTTAAGAAGCAAGTAAAGTACAATGCTTTTTTTTTTTTTATCAATATCTTTTAGTAAAGTAAAGTACTTTGCTTAGCTACCAAGAAAATCTATAATTGGTCCATGTGTAAATCCAATACTTAACCATTAAGAAACTCTAGTATTTTGCCTATAAAAAGTAACTCATATGCATTCTAGTTATATCAATTAAGAGTGAATGAATATAGTGTTTGAAGTTAAAATTAATCCTTCTTCCTTCTCTCTATGATATTGTGAGTTTTATGTAATCAATTTTTGTCGCATTGACACCAAATTGGTATGAGAGAAGATTACATCATGCTGGTGTGTCAATTTTTTTTTTGAGTGTGTGAAGAACAAAAAAGTTCACATTGTGTCAAAAAATTACTATGAGTATTTTTGCGAGAGAGGTATGACAAACAATTACAATTTAGTCTACTCCAATCCCAAATTAAATGCAGAATTTCATTTTAGTTATTGAGAACTTTTGATGACAACATCTAAAAGCTCACAATGTTTAGTGTTTTATGAATTTGATTTACAACAAGGAGCTGTTGAAGTCGCTAGTAGAAGGGATCCGTTGACACTTTCACAAATTCATCAAGGAATAGATTACTTAATATTCGTCAAAATAGCAAATGCCAAGACTGCTAAAGAAGCGTATGGCATATTAAAGTTGTCTCATAAAGGAGTAGAGAAGGCTCAATAATCAAAACTACAATCTCTCCATAGAGAATATGAAAAATACCAAGGTCTAAGTCAAAAATTGTAGAACATTATTTTTCTTGTATTATAAATATTGTCGATAAGATGAGAGTATATGGAGAAGATATTCTAGATAACAAAGTGGTGGAGAAAATTTTACATACCATACCTATGAAATTTGATCATGTGGTGTTTACGATATGACACCAACACTTTGTCAATAACAAAGCTCCATGATCAAACTTCATTGGCATGATAAGTAAAATTTTCTCTACCACTTCCACTTTGTTATCTGGAACATATTCTCCATTTACTCTCATTTTATTGATAAGATTTGTAATGCAAAAAAAATATTATTTTACAGTTTTTAAATTAGACATTGGTACCTTTCATATTCTATATTCTCTATGCAGAGATTGTAATTTGAATTTCTGAGCCTACTCTCCTCCTTTATATGACAACTTCAATATTCTCACGCTTCTTTAGCAGTCTATTCCTTGATGAATTTGTGAAAGTGCCAATTGGTCCCTTTTACGAGCGACTTCAAAGTTCCAAATATTATGAGCTTTTAGATACATTGTCATCAAAAGTTTCCAACAACTAAAATTTAATTCTGTATTGAATTTGAGATCGGACACAATGAAAACTCTTTTATTCTTCACATTTAAAATATTTTTGACACTCACACTAGCAAGACCTACTCTGCTCTGATACCACCAATTTAATGTCAATGTGACATAAATTGATCATACAAAACTCACACCATCTTAGAGAAAAGTGTGACATAAATTGATCACACTACCATAGGGAAAACAAAGAAGAATTAATTTTAACTTTAACCACTATATTCAAACAGTCATAATTGATACAACTACAGAACATGAGTTTCCTTTTATAGGCAAAATACTATAGCTTCTTAATGGTTTTGCATACTTCGTTGCCAACAAGTTCTGTTACAACTTATAATATTGTTCTTACTTACTAAGTAATCTTAATAGTTATGAAAATACACTAGGAAAATAATGCCTACAGTTTATAGTCCAATGCAGTGTTGTCCATCACTGATTCTGAAAATCACTGGGGCTTAACATTTTGTGAGCCTTTAAGATCTTCATATCATTCACAACCGAGTGTTATTTTCACATAAACAAAGCACTCACTTGTAGTAAAACATTAAGATAGTTCTGACAGAATTATTCACATCAACCACAATTTATCTTATCTTGTAGACAACATCCACAATTTGAAACTTGCAGTGTTGTTTTTGTGTTTTACTCATGCATTTGAGTGTTTGCGGTAAAGTAAGCACCCTATTCAACATTACCGTTGTTTCAACTCAACAATTAATTGGAGATTATGTTAAGCTTAATAACTATAAACAAACACTATAGACAAATATTCCTTGTAAAATCTATTGATATTATATCAAAATAGTGAAATTTGATTCAACATATGAACGGAATGTGTTTAGTCTCATTAAACTCTTATGTAATCTTCTAGGTTAAGCCTGTACTTAGCAGATTGAAAATTACTCTAGTCGGTCTGGCAGCATGCTTGGTGACATGTGCTCTTATCTTTGAGAACATTGATGAAAGTTATCTAACATCAAGAGAAACTGGAGTTCGAGCAATACCTGGAGCTTACAACGATGAATCTGCAAGATCATTTGAACCAGATGCATTTTGTGGTGAGCCTGATCTTCAAGAATAGTACATAACTTAATTTGGAGGAAAAGAGGAGCTCTATTAATTCAATATTAAATTATATACTCTCTGTACATATATTATGTATCCTTTTCATACCAGATATGTAGTAGTATTTGACAGTACTATGAAGTTGAAAAATAAAATGAGGAAAATGTATATTTTTAAGTTGTTGAGTAATCTGCATTTATTTTATGAGATGAGTTTTTGACATGAGTTAAAGGTAAAATAGAGAAATTATAAATTATTATTGTTATTTCGAGCTCAAATTAAAGTGAGAAAAATAGAAATTTATTTCTTCTATTCAAATATGAATGAAAGGGCAAGTATCAACAAGACAACAAGATGAAGAAATGTAAAAATACTTATCCTTGAAATGTGAATTTTGAATGACATGTTTTAAGTTGTGGTTTATGGAGTGTTAGCATTTAGAATGAGGAATACTATTATAAGTTGGTAAAATTCTTTGAAAGTCATAAATATGCAAAATGTCTAAATCAAGAAAAGATGAATCTTATTCGTGTTAGAAGTATAATTCTTGTTTTGTCGAAATACATGTGTATGGTGTATGTCGAATAATTTATTGTATAGGTTATAAGCTGTATTCGATAGAGTCGAATACAACATATATTGTAGTATGTCGAAATTATGTTTTGGGCTTTAGCGTGTTTTGTCTAATTGAGCTTGGGCATTGTTTGCCCAATAGATTTTTACAATTCAGTTAG